TTTCTTTTCTCTATTATTCCTGAAATAAGCTGATTTGTAGCAGAAACTGGTTGAATTAACTGCCCCAGTAACTGGATCCATTAATAGAAATAAATTATACAAATGTATATTTTTCACAGACTACAAAATGTATCAGCATACATATGAAAAATAAATGCAGCTGTATCTTTGAACATAATGCAATGAGCATGGATATTTTCAGAATCTTTCCAACTACCTTGTTCGCTTGACGCTGAAGAAGGTTCCTAAAACCAAAAATGCTAAAAATGATCCATAATTGCATACTGCCCACAGCTTACGTACTTTTTTGGAAAGCAGATCTAGCCTTGCCCTTGTGCTTTTCCAACCCAATCTCCCAACTACAAACCTTATTAATAGAAAAGAGAAACAGGCTGGAGGTAAGAAGTGCAGTGCTGAGAGCCTGTGGATGATGATACCCAGCAGGAGAGAACTACACTCATCTCTGTTTCTATATCATCTGCCAGCCATTCAACATGAACCAGCAATCTTGGGCTTGCTCAAAGTTGGTATCATGACAACATGCTCTCAAGCTGAGGGGACGAAGAGAAAGAAGGGTAAAGGTAGAGAAAGAAAAAAGAAGAAGGGTGACAGTTTTGGATTTGCCCTTCAATGTCAATGTCCACTTCCCCAGGCATTCATCATGTCGCTAAAGCGTCACAAACTGGCAAATGAATATCAATCCATCCATCCGTCTGTCCTTTTCCTATGCATAGGGGCGGGAATTTTTTGGCAAACTCACGATTCGATGTCTGTGCTACAGTGTTATAACAAGAAGAAGCCAATGTGATCCAAAACGGGCACAGGTCTGTAGAAACAAGCTTTTATATTATCTCACCAGCTTGGCTGAAGTGCTGCACTGTGTGTTGCTGAGCTGCTCTTGGTTGTTAATATGATTACTGCTCCACTACGTTAATGTCAGTCTGCTGGCTGGGCTATGCAGTATTCATATAATCCTCCACACTTATTTACCTAGTACAGTGATTTCTTTTCTCTATTATTCCTGAAATAAGCTGATTTGTAGCAGAAACTGGTTGAATTAACTGCCCCAGTAACTGGATCCATTAATAGAAATAAATTATACAAATGTATATTTTTCACAGACTACAAAATGTATCAGCATACATATGAAAAATAAATGCAGCTGTATCTTTGAACATAATGCAATGAGCATGGATATTTTCAGAATCTTTCCAACTACCTTGTTCGCTTGACGCTGAAGAAGGTTCCTAAAACCAAAAATGCTAAAAATGATCCATAATTGCATACTGCCCACAGCTTACGTACTTTTTTGGAAAGCAGATCTAGCCTTGCCCTTGTGCTTTTCCAACCCAATCTCCCAACTACAAACCTTATTAATAGAAAAGAGAAACAGGCTGGAGGTAAGAAGTGCAGTGCTGAGAGCCTGTGGATGATGATACCCAGCAGGAGAGAACTACACTCATCTCTGTTTCTATATCATCTGCCAGCCATTCAACATGAACCAGCAATCTTGGGCTTGCTCAAAGTTGGTATCATGACAACATGCTCTCAAGCTGAGGGGACGAAGAGAAAGAAGGGTAAAGGTAGAGAAAGAAAAAAGAAGAAGGGTGACAGTTTTGGATTTGCCCTTCAATGTCAATGTCCACTTCCCCAGGCATTCATCATGTCGCTAAAGCGTCACAAACTGGCAAATGAATATCAATCCATCCATCCGTCTGTCCTTTTCCTATGCATAGGGGCGGGAATTTTTTGGCAAACTCACGATTCGATGTCTGTGCTACAGTGTTATAACAAGAAGAAGCCAATGTGATCCAAAACGGGCACAGGTCTGTAGAAACAAGCTTTTATATTATCTCACCAGCTTGGCTGAAGTGCTGCACTGTGTGTTGCTGAGCTGCTCTTGGTTGTTAATATGATTACTGCTCCACTACGTTAATGTCAGTCTGCTGGCTGGGCTATGCAGTATTCATATAATCCTCCACACTTATTATCCAGTAATTAACACAAACTGAAATGATTTCCTTTTCTGAAGATAAACAAACTTTACAACCGCAGTTGTACAACACTACTCATGTGTGTGCACTGTCCACTGTCTGAGTGCTACACTGGCTTCGAAGTTGAGTTCTACCTTTTTCGTTCTGTCAACATTATTACAAAATTCAAATTTTTGCACTTGCAAATCAATTATGAATCATAAATTATTTGAATAATGATTCTAATATGACTCAATTTTTGTCTCCCATCCCTACCTATGCAAAGCCTATATTTCATTTAAACTGAAGATGTCTTTTAGACTTTAGTATTGATTTGTTATTTTTCAAAAGACAAAGTCACATGCACCTGATTTATTTCACTACTACAACAAACCCATCCCCTTTCCCTGCCTCCTCTCATAGCTAGCAGTTTTTGTTTTTATTTTTATTTTTTTACTTTTTAGTCAGTACAGCCTTGATTTACATTTTTAATTGTTTTTCAAGGTTGATAAAACATGATAACATATGTTCCTGTTGAATGTTACATTTCTTTTCAATAAACACCTAAACTAGACAGTGCACCTGCTAAAGAGCCTTTTATGAATTTGTAACCATTACACATTTACCAAAAAATATTCATGCTTGTTTTAATCTTCGGTAATTGTTCTTGTAACAGCAAGAGGCTTCATTTGACAATTTACCAATACAACAATCTTCATATTTTCACAAACCAAAACAAATAAATTCTGTGGGCCAGCCTTTACATCCATCCATCACTTCCTTCCATCTCTCACAGAAAGTCTTGCCTTTACTCCTCGACTCATTTTCTCTCCAGATGTGATTAGCTGAAATGAGTGATGAAAAATGGAGGGGATGAAGAAGTATGACAGTAACTGTGAATGTCTAACAAGATCCCCATTTCTGAAACTGAAATTCAGTTTATCATACCAGTATAAGAATACTGGTATGAATTTGTTAAAGCAGTTACTGTGTTTACTGGTCAACAGTGCAGCATTATAAAATACTTGACCTCTCACGCTCTCATTCTGTGTGTGTGTGTTTCATGACATCTCTTAAGACTCATATGACATAGGAACTAGGTGAACTGCAGAATAGGCTAATACTGTCTGACTAACTGGATCTGTGAGAACGTGTCATTTTTATAGACAGCTATAGGACTTCAACACAAGCTTGGTGACCTGAACACTAAGCTGGGGGTTTGAGGGCCAATAAGACTCTACAGTGTGACAGAGACTCATTAATGCTCTCCTCAGATTACTGTAAAGATAGAATTATTGAACCTTGTTTAGTTCACCTGAGCACAGATTTGAGGGTAGAACTGAGTATTAAAACATTATTAATATGACACAAAATTAATGGCATCCAGACAGTGTTAGGGATTTTCTCTTGGACTGCATTCTGAATTTGTCATTCAGTTATTTTAAAAGCTGAGTTACATTTTTGAGCTTACGTGACTGCTCTGGCTAAGTGAAACAATCAGTGAATCAGTGAACCTCTGTGTCAACACTCTGTTACAGACACACCACTTGGTTAGCTGCTACATTTTTCTTGTGTTTAGATATCCTCTGAAACCATTATTAGTTACACTTAAGAGAATGTCTTGTGAGGTTGGTATATACGTAAGTATGTATTTGGTCAGGAATATTAGCCATACCCTTTAGTTAACATTATCAAACTTCTATTAAATAATTCTGCTAGTACTGATATAAGATGACAAAATATTCCCAGTAGTTCCCATGTAAAATACTACCACCTATGCAATGGAAATTATTTAACTTAAATTATAGTCACATACTGCACATACTGCACATACTGTAACAAAAAGTGATGATCATGAGAACATTACAACCCCAGAAATAACCTCATAAAGCTCTTGTGGGATTGGACAGCTGGAGAAGTATATGTGGACACTCTCGTCAAGGTCAGATTGGATTTGTTTGATTTACTTATCAATTTTACAACAGATTTTTTTGTATTTACAGTCTGAGGATTAAAAAAACAAAAAGGTGTTGATTCTCTTTAGATACTGCTCTCCAAATATTAAACCATCATGGTTTAATATTTGGAGACACTAGACATTCGACCTCACAAACTGCAATCAAAAGCAGAGGTGGGTATGATTTGGCTATAACTGGAACACAGGATTCCCTCAAAATGAATCTGGGAAATTTTTCACTTCTGTTATATAATAGCTGGAGACTAGCTAGAGAATGTAAGCGTCACAATCCAAATGCCAAGTAGCCAACTCAGTGCATCACAACTATTTTGGGTCTCTACAAAGAGCTTCTTATTTGTGCATCACCTCTGTAGGTTCTACATGACAAACCCCAAAGACAAACATGAGGCTGCCTTCTCCCTCAGCACAGATCCAAGGCTCAGTTGCAATTTTGGGCTGTGTGCCCGAGTGTGTGAAGCGGCTTCACAGCCCTGCTGTGTTGCTTCAGGCAGCGAGATAACGGTTTTGGCGTATGCGCCGCCGGGTGATAAGGCATCACATCTTCCTCGTTTTATCTGCCCATATCCCTAACCCCACTACCAGCCTGCCCTGCCTACTGGTCCTCTAACGGCATTCCATCCCACTGCATCTTTTCTTTCCCAACGTGACTGCCATTTAAAGGGTTAAAAATAAAAAAAGGAACTGACAACCAAATGAAAGACTGAGTACCCCAAGGGGAGGGAAAAATTCGCCACTATAATAAAGTTGTGATTTGAATGAGTATGGAGGAGTTCAAAGCGGTCACACACCTGCATAAAAATCCTTTCACTAACTGGTTTTTGCGTCCACGGCAGTTTCCAGTCGACGTGCCAGTACCGGGGAAGCGTGTCAAGACAACGCAGGAATATTCCCGGCCAGTGACCCGTTGCAAGATTTACTGAGGGGACTTAACTCTGTCAGCTTAATAGAAATAAGACTCATCCTGAGTATACCACAGTGATAATCGCATTCCTTCATAGAGATGTGTATGTATGTATGTATGTATGTATGCGTGTATGAATTAAACTTACCAGGATAACAGTCGGCCCAGAGGAGCACGAAGGCTGGCACAATGAGAGAGACAATCCACCAGCAGCCACAACACGATAACAGTAGCCTCCACATGGTAGGAATAGACACGCAAACATGCAAACAATAAGCAGCAGCAACTGTTGAGTTTCTCCCTTTTGCGGTCAAATCAGCACGCCTTCGCTGCGTAAAAAGCAGCACCGGAGACGCAGCGCAGACGGAGACTGGGCACGGTGGAGGTCGTGGGCGGAAAAATTAGTTATAGGTCCAGTGAAGAGTCATTCCGTCCCAGAATCCGCACAATATTCCAGAATATAAACATAGCATTCAGATACTGGTGGTTATGAAGGAGCGAGAATACGCAGTAAGGGAATAGCGGTTAGAAGAGGCAGCGGCGGTCCACCCAGCGCGCCGTCGCTCCTGCGGCTGCTGAGGCAGCGCTCGTCGTGTACACAGAGAGGGGAGAGTCGGTGTTGGTGGTGGAGAGATGCTGGAAGCTTTCCATTCTTCCATCCATCCAGGAAGTAACGTGTGAGTGTAGCAGGGACTTTAAAAGAGTCTTGAGAGGAGAGAGAGAGAGAGAGAGAGGAGAGAGAGGAGAGAGAGAGAGAGAGAGAGAGTGTGACAGTGAAAGATTGGTCCTAGCGCCGGTGAGAGAACGTACAATCACTCGGTATAATAACATGTACAAGTCCTACAGTGTATTAGGTAATAATAGATCTGTGCTCTCCAGGGGCTTTGTTCATATTAATGATCCAAAAATAGATTCATATTAGACAAAGCATTCCCGTTCCAACAGATGATTTTGAACTAGAAGGAACCCAGTCTGACTGTTTAGTTATTATTTACTAGACAGACAGGGTTAATTATCAGTTAATGCAGCGCATGATATAGTAATTTCGACTTAACCTTCATAACGTTGTGATTATGTAATTAAAAGCAAGTAAAGAACAGAAAAATGCTGAAACATGTCATATTTATAAAGATGATGATGCAGCGCTGGTACAAACCTTTTCACAATCAGAATCAGAATCATCTTAATGGCCAAGTTTGAACATACAAGAAATTTTACTCAAGTGCAGAGGCTCTTAATGTGTTGGAAATAGAAAATAATAGTAATAATAATAAACCATGTGTGCATTCAAATAGGAAAGAAAGAGAGGAAAAGAGAGACAGCATTCATAAATATATGTAGCAACTCAGAATTGACCTTTCCAGTTAAAGCTACCAGGCAGCAGGCGTGTAGTTCCCATCAGCCCTCCAGGAGCAACTCTCCACCTGATATGCCTGATATGGCATGTCTAGATTCCACAGTAAGAGCTATTCCTTGTGTAGCTTCCAGTCGATCTGGTAGCGACCTTTTCGATCAGTGACATGAAAGAAGATTTCCATTCAATAAATTGTAAGGGCTCACCACTAAACGCTGTCAGCTCTGGCGTAGGGAATCTACTCAATCTTATGCTACCTTGTACGGCCTGCGCAAGCTGAGTGACACTAGGGGGAGATGACGACTCAGGTTTATTAGAAGGAGATGATGCAGAAGGCTTGAGAGTGTGGTCTGGACTCACCTGTTCGCTTTTGATTGACTCGACATCACCAAACTGCTACAACTCTTTGTTGTAGGCTTCTAACCTAGCTCAGGCCGCTTCCACGTCCTTTGCTGCTCTCAAGCACTCCAACTCTGATGTTTGAATTGCAATTTCTTTCTTTTGTTCTTCTTCTAGCGCTTTTATCTTTTCCCTTTGTTTATGTTCTTCTTGTACAATGTTATATTCAGCTTCTTTTGCAGCTAGATCTGCAGCTGCATCAGCTCGTTTTGAAGCAAGGAGTGACACTGAGGAGTATTTGCTGTGAATTGATGCAGCAGTTGAGCCATATATGGATAGGGCGTATTCATGCTCTAATAGTTCATGTAGATGATTTCTTTCATGCTCTGCATCAAAATCTCCATCAATACCCCTTCATCTTTCCAGAATGATTTTTATGATGTTATGCGTGACTGCTTCACATGCATCAACCTTTCTCCTCAAATCAGATGATGGTGCCTTGTGATTTCTTATTTCTGTGTAGAGTTTTAACATGTCATCCCTTTGCTCTATTATGTCAGCAAGATATGATGTGCTTTTCAGTGATATCTGACTTTAACTTTTCTCGTTTCACGAGCCTGCATTTTCCATTGTTCATATAGGGTGTAAAGTCTCTTTTCTTTTTTGCTCATTTCTTCCCTTTGATATTTTATCATCTTTTCTGTTTGTACCTTTACTCTTTCGGGGCGTTTTGGCATTTCTGGCATGCTCTGGATTTTATCTTGTAGCTCACTTAACATTTGTTCTTTACATGTGATTGAATTTTTAATGTCGTCTATTCTCACCTTCATTTTGAAGCAAGTCTTTTAGGTCTTGAACTTCCCTTTGTAAGCTTGTGATTTGTTTATTAAGGTCTATTGGACTGATAGATGACGCGTGTGTATCAATCACTTTTCTTTATTCCTTTATCCTTTCAATTTTCTGACCAACGTTGTGAGTATTGCCGTTGGACCTTGAGACCACATTGTGCAGCCTGTGGTGGCGGTCAAGCTCTTATTGTAGATTCCAGTCGAAATGGAAGGCCAGAACTGATGGTTAAGTGACTTTAATTTGTAGTAATTCTCCAACATAAGAGCTAGACGAAAACAAAACCAAACAATTACAATTTGTACCCTTTACACAGCTTAGCTCATTATATTGGTTAGCATAACATTAACTTTTAGCATAACCAAAATATCCGTAAACATAAAACACATTTTCATATTATTCAAACACATATTTATAACTGTAACAAACCTTGTTCCCCTATTGACCTTTGCTAAATCTTTATATTTTATAACGTTTTATCTCCGTTGACCATGTACAGCTGCTTTCTTTACATCTTTTTGTGTCAAGTAGACTTCCGTGTTTTATATACACTCAAGACTTTCTCTCAAACAGGAAGTTACCTAAAAATAAAGCACGTAACCGTACAATACACATGACGTGGCCTAGAGATCCTTTACACCTTGATTTGCAGGGTGTCACCATTAGATGGTGTACTCAAAAACACACAAACCAGAGTGTGATTGCCTGAAGTACCGTACTGACACTGCAGTTTATGCAATGGAATTGTCTGATCATAATCATTATCATACAGGTACTGTGCCACATAAATCACAGAGAGAAAAAATAAAATCCTGGTCCTGGCAAACTGAGGTGTCAAGACATGATTATGACTGTTGATTGTTGTGGCAGTGTGACATCACGCTTTAGACTCTAAGTCCTACCCACTTTTAATACTTTGCTCCCTTCTAGATCAAAGGCTGTCAATATTTGACCCTTACATACTTCAAATGATTTCACACATCTGCATTAGAATTTCACATCAAAACATTTTTTCATTGTTCAGTTGTCTGTTTTATCAGAGAAAACTATTTGATGTTAATGTTTTATTAATGATCACTGTACAATAGCTGACACCATAGTGCCACTGTGTGCTCTCTCATGCTACACTACAACCATGGTGACTTTGACCTCTGTGTATATTAAATGGAAAAATAATCAGAATCAGAATCAGCTTTCTTGGCCAGGTGTGACGGACACACGAGGAATTTGACTCAGGTACATCGGCTCTCAATGTGCAAACAGTAAACCAGCATAAGGCTGTGTAATATAACAAAATAGCAGTATTAACATCAACAAACAGTGCAAACAATGCAGAAAAAGCAATATAAACAAACAGTAAACAATGCATACAAACAAAGGAATGTTGATTTAAATGAGATAAATAGGGATAAAACATAATACTTAAGAACTAGAGACCTGTACGGATCTGTATAATCTGTACGAGGTATATCTACAGGTATTGCACTGAGGGTTATTGTCCAATCATACTGTCGTGGGTTAAGTGTTCATCAGAGTGACAGCCTGGGGGAAGAAACTGTCCCTGTGCCTGGTTGTCTTAGTGCACAGTGACCTGTAACACCGTCCAGAGGGGAGGAGTTCAAACAGATTGTATCCGGGGTGTGAGGGGTCTGCAGTAAACCCCCCTTGCCCTCCTTTTGACCCATGAGGTGTACAGGTCCTCCATGGAGCGCAGGCTCACACCAATGACCTTTTCTGCAGTTCTGACTGTCCGCTGAAATCTGTACTTGTCCTGTTTGGTTGCTGAGCCAAACCAGACAGTTATGGCGGTGCAGAGAACAGACTCGATGATTCCTCTGTAGAACTGTATCAACAGCTCCTGGGGTAGGTCGAACTTCCTAAACTGGTGCAGGAAGTACATCCTCTGCTGTGCCTTCTTGGTGATGGTCCTGATGTTGGACGTCCACTTCAGGTCCTGGGAGATAGTGGAGCCCAGGAACTTGTAGGACTTTACTGCTGATATAGTGCTACCAAGTATGACAAGGGGGGGTAAGGTGGGAGGGCTCTTCCTGAACTCCACTGTTTTCAGCATGTTCAGCTCCAGGTTGTTGCAGCTACACCACAGGACCAGCTGCTCAACCTCCTGTCTGTAGGCTGACTCATCATTGTCTTGGATGAGACCAATGACCGTTGTGTCATCTGCAAACTTTAGGAGCTTGACAGAGGGGTCCTTCAAGATGCAGTCGTTGGTGTAGGGTGGAAACAGCAGAGAAAAGCACATGTCCTTGGGGGGCACCTGTGCTTATTGTCCAGGTGCTGGCTGTGGTTTTCCCCAGCCTCACGCGCTGCTCCCTGTCTGTCAGAAAGCTCGTAACACACTGCCAGGTGGGGACAGCTGTAATGCAGTGCCATGTTCACTGCATCATCCACTGACCTGTTTGCCCGGTAGGCAAACTGCAGGGGGACCAGCAGGGGGTCAACGATGTCCTTCAGGTGGGCCAGCACCAGTCTTTCAAAGGACTTCATAACTACAGATGTCAGGGTGACAGGTCTGTAGTCGTTCAGTCCACTGATGGGGGTTTTCTTGAGGACTGGAATGATGGTGAAGCATTTGAAGCAGGAGGGGACTTCACACAGCTCCAGTGACATGTTGAAGATAAGTGTGAAGATGGGGGCCAGCTGATCAGCGCACACTTTCAAGCAGCAGGGGGTTACACCATCTGGGCCTGGTACCTTTCTGATCTTTTGTCTTTTAAAGAGGCCACGTACATCCTTTTCACAGATTGTTAGAGGTGGGGGCTGGAGGGAAGGGTGTTGATTGTTGGGGGAGTAGCAGCTGGGTCTGAGGTGGGGAGGGTGAGGGGGGAGTGTTGATTGTCAAACCTGCAGTAGAACACATTCAGGTCGTCTGCTAGTTGACGGTCCTCCACCGCAGGAGGAGATGGTTTTCAGGCTCCCCCACACAGACAAGGGGTTTGTTGGCTGAAACCTGAGCTTTCAGCTTTTCAAAGTAGCTCCTCTTTTCTGCTCTGATCTCCCTTGTCAGTGTGTTCCTTGTCTGGCTGTACAGAGTCCTGTCCCCACTTCTGTAAGCCTCCTCTTTGGCATGACAAAGCTGTTTGACCAGGTTTTCCTCAAAATGTTTTCTAGTTGTCTATGA